TTCCTTGTAAAAATATTCCATTTTTTCAGTGTAGGCCTCGGGGTGTTTTCACCCCCTCCGCTGTACTTTTGTAACCCGGATTGGTTGCCTGTTGTTTACTTTGTACTGTGTAACCTAGTTGTGTGCGCTTGTAAATTCCAATAAAAACTATTCAACCAGAAAATATAAAATTTTTGGGCCTGTTCGCACCAGATGCATTGAGCTGCAGTGGCTAGTGTTGATCAACACAAGGGCACCGTTCTTCTGCCTTGTTTGCACCATGCAAGTGTGTCTGGTGTGATGTGGTGCATACATATGGAGCATGTCTGCATTTGTACGCAACGCAGTGCAGTTCACCACATGTCATCGCACCACAGCCCGCTGCTGTACATAGAGATTATATATTTTATTTATTTCAGGTACTTGTATGGCGCCATCAATTTACGCATACATACAGTTGCAAGAAAAAGTATGTGAACCCCTTGGGATTACGTGGAGTTTTGCATGAATTGGGCATAAAATGTGCTCTGAACGTCATCTAAGTCACAACAATAGAAGAACACAGTCTGCTGAACATAATACTACACAAACATTAGATGTTGCCATGGTTTAATTGCACATAACATGTAAACATTCACAGTGCAGGGAGGAAAAAGTATGTGAGGCCCTAGCTTAATGACTTCTCCCAGAGCTAATTGGAGCCAGGAGTGAGCCAACCTTGACTCCAATCAGTGTGATGATATTGTATGTGTTGCTGACAGCTGTCCTGCCCTTCAAAAACACACACGTTTTGGGTTTACTGGTTTCAGGAAACACTGTCTGATGTGAACCATGCCTCGCAGAAAAGAGCTCTCAGAAGACCAATGATCAAGAATTGTTGACTTGCTTGAAGCTGGAAAGGGTTACAAAAGTATCTCCAAAAGCCTTGATGTTCATGTGTCCACGGTAAGACAGACTGTCTACAAATGGAGAAAGTTTAGCACTGTTGCTACTCTCCCTAGGCGTGGTCGTCCTTTAAAAATGACTGCAAGAGCACAGCGCAGAATGCTGCATGAGGTAAAGAAGAATCCCAGAGTGTCAGCTAAAGACCTACAGAAATCTCTGGCACATGCTAACATTTTTGTTGACACATCTACAATAAGGAAAACATTAAACAAGAATGGAGTACATGGGGAGGACACCACGGAGGAAGCCATTGCTGTCCAAAAAGAATATTGCAGCACGTTTGAAGTTTGCAAAAGAGCACCTGGATGTTCCACAGCACTACTGGCAAAATATACTGTGGACAGATGAAACCAAGATTGAGTTGTTTCGGAAGAACACACAACACTATGTGTGGAGAAAAAAAGGCACAGCACACCAACATCAAAACCTCATCCCCACTGTAAAACAAGGCGGAGGGAGCATCATGGTTTGGGGCTGCTTTGCTGCCTCAGGGCCTGGACGGATTGTTGTCATTGATGGCAAAATGAATTCCAGAGTTTATCAAGACATTTTGCAGGAAAACGTACGACCATCTGTCCGCCAACTGAAGCTCCGCAGAGGATGGGTGATGCAACAGGACAATGACCCAAAGCATACAAGTAATTCAACAAAACAATGGCTGCAACAGCACAGAATACGCCTTCTGGAGTGGCCCAGTCAGAGTCCTGACCTCAACCCGATTGAAATTCTGTGGCATGAGCTTAAGAGAGTGATTCACACCAGACATCCCAAGAATATTGCTACACTGAAACAGTTTTGTGAAGAGGAGTGGTCCAAAATGACTCCAGATCGTTGTGCAGGTCTGATCTGCAACTACAGGAAACGTTTGGTTGAGGTTATTGCTGCCAAAGGAGGGTCAACCAGTTATTAAGTCCAAAGGTTCACATACTTTTTCCTCCCTGCACTGTGAATGTTTACATGTTATGTGCAATTAAACCATGGCAACATCTAATGTTTGTGTAGTATTATGTTCAGCAGACTGTGTTCTTCTATTGTTGTGACTTAGATGACGTTCAGAGCACATTTTATGCCCAATTCATGCAAAACTCTACGTAATCCCAAGGGGTTCACATACTTTTTCTTGCAACTGTATATATTGTACATTCACATCAGTCCCTCAAGGGGCGTACAATCTAAGGTCCCTAACTCCCATTCATACATACTAGGGCCAATTTAGACAGGAGCCAATTCACCTACCAGCATGTTTATAAGTCCATAAAGCAAGGACATACAGCACAAGGACTATGCTGGCTGTTAACGCGTTTCACACACACAGTCACGTGCTAAATCATTACCCATGAAAGTGCACAGGAATTGCAAACAGACTTCAGTCTACAGATTTCCTTCTAACCTTCCATCCCAATTTTAAAGTATTGGGCATTGTGCAGGAGAAACAAAAGTTACTAAATTTCATGGTCATTGTATAGTCTGCCTGGTCCTGCTATCCTTAATTTAAGCACTTGACCTCCAGAAGGTTTTACCCCCTTCATGGCCATGGCATTTTTTGCTATTTAGCACTGTGCTACTTTAACTGGCAATTGATCGACCGATCAATTGCCAGTTAAAGTAGCACAGTGCTAAATAGCAAAAAAAAAACTGTACCCAAATAAAATTTATATAATTTTATTCCACACAAACAGAGCTTTCTTTTGGTCATATTTTATCACCAGTGGGATTTTTTTTTATTATAAATATGAAAAAGACCAAACATTTTGAAAAAAAAAGTTATATATTTATTCAAGGTACTTATATAGCGTTGTCAATTTACGCAGCGCTTTACATGTATATTGTACATTCACATCAGTCCTTAACCCTTAAGGGGTGTACAATCTAAGGTCCCTAACTCACATACATACTAGAGCCAATTTAGACAGGAGCCAATTCACCAAGCAGCATGTCTTTGGAGTGTGGGAGGAGGAAACCGGAGTACCCGGAGGAAACCCACGCAGGCACAGGGAGAACATGCGAACTCCAGGCAGGTGGTGCCGTGGTTGGGAGTTGAACCAATGACCCTAGTACTGCCAGGTGGAAGTGCTAACCAGTTAGCCACTGTGCTGCCCATGATGAATGGCATTTTGTGACAGTTCAAGAATGCTAAAGTATATGTAAACCCTCATCTTGTAAAGCAAACCATTCGGTTTAAAATAGAAATGAAAGGTAAAACATTTTGTATATACATACAAAAACATTATAAATACCTTTTTTTTTTTTTTTTACCCTTTTTTTTACCCTTTTTTTTCCTTCTATGTTTGCTTCTGAAAGATGGAAACTGACTGCTGGAAAACTTAGGTTAAAAAAAGTCTGTTTAGCTGCGTTTGCATACCGCGCTTATGCGCGTTTGAGTTTAGAAGCGTTTTTTTTTTAAAGATAACATCAGGAGACCCTCCCAAATTCCCAGAATGCACTGAAAAACAGTAAAAAGTAAAAATTTACTATTTCAGACATTTTGAGAGGAATAGAGAGCGCAGAAGCAGAGAGAGCAGTATGTGTTGAGATGACCTGTCTTTTCTGGATGTATTCACAATGGATCCCATCATGAGCATAATGCGGCACTTTCTACCATTTTTTTTTTTTTCCTTCACGCAACACCTGGAACTGACTGCCCTGGTGTACTGGGTCCATTTGAATACAAGGAAAATGCTTTGCATGCATTTCTGATGATGAAAAAAGGCTCAGGACAGCATCTAAATGCTTCTAAACGCATATAAATGCGGTTAGCCACGATTAAAAGCGTTTGGCGTTTGAAATGCTGATAAAATCTAGTCCTGAACGCAAGTTTGGTGCATTCAAAAAAACGACTGTAAACACAACTGCCTGTAAACGACATAGTGTACATGGACACATAGGAAACCATTAGAGAGAGTTCAGGGGCTGCTGAAAAAAAATGCCAAAAAGCTCCTGAATGTGAGTTATCAGCTGCAGTGTACATGAGCCCTAAGTGATCACATACCCTCTGTTCTCATCTGCATAAAGAGCTCAGAGAGCTGGGGGAGGATAAACAGCAGGACACTGGTCTTCCCAGGGAATAGCTGTGCAGAGGGTGCACATCAGCAGAAGTCTTATTATTGGAGGACAGCAGGCACAGCTGGAGAACTGACCATGCTGTGCTCTCATGCCTAGTGTGGTCAATGTTTAAAGGAAAGTAGAGGAATTGGCAGGAGCACCAGGGATTTCACACAAAGGAAGCAATACAAAGTGAACAGGAAAAACTTTTCATACAAGTACATGGTACAGCAGGCACATGCATTATATTGCCAAAAGTATTGGGACACCTTGCTTTACACCAGTGTTTCTCAACTCCAGTCCTCATGGACCCCCAACAGGTCATGTTTTCAGGATTTCCATTATTTTGCACAGGTGATTTGATCGGTTTCACTGCCTTAGTAATTACCACAGCTGTTTCATCTGAGGGAAATCCTGAAAACATGACCTGTTTGGGGGTCCATGAGGACTGGAGTTGAGAAACACTGCTTTACACGCACATGTACTTTAATGGCATTCCAGTCTTAGTCCGTAGGGTTCAATATTGAGTTGGCCAACCCTTTGCAGCTATAACAGCTTCAACTGAGTGGTCAGATGAGGCCCTGATGTCGGAAAAGAAGGCCTGGCTTGCAGTCTCCGCTCTAATTAATCCCAAAGGTGTTCTATCGGACTCTGTGCAGGCCAGTCAAGTTCCTCCACCCCAAACTCTCTCATCCATGTCTTTATGGACCTTGCTTTGTGCACTGGTGTACAGTTATGTTGGAACAGGAAGGGGCCATCCCCAAACTGTTTCCACAAAGTTTGGAGCATGAAATTGTTCAAAATGTCTTGGTATGCTAAAGCCTTAAGAGTTCCCTTCACTGGAACTAAGGGGCCAAGCCCAACCCCTGGAAAACAACCCCACACCATAATGCCTCCTCCACCAAACTTTACACTTGGCACAATGCAGTCAGGCAAGTACCGTTCTCCTGGCAACCGCCAAACCCAGACACATCCATTGGAATGTCAGACAGAGAAGCGCAATTGGTCACTCCAGAGAACACATCTCCACTGCTCTAGAGTCCAGTGGTGGCATGCTTTACACCACTGCATCTGACGCTTTTCAATGCACTTGGTAATGTAAGGCTTGGCTCCGCCATGGAAACCCATTCCATGAAGCTCTCTGTGCACTGTTTTGCTAATATGAAGGCCACATGAAGTTTGGAGGTCTTTAGCTATTGACTCTGCGGACAGTTGAAGACTTCTGCGCACTGTGCGCTTCAGCATGTGCTGACCCCACCTTGCCATATTACGTGGCCTTCCACTTCATGGCTGAGTTGCTGTTGTTCCCAGTTGCTTCCACTTTGTTATAATCCCACTAACAGTTGGTCGTGGAATATTTAGTAGCAAGGAAATGTCACGGATGGATTTATTGCACAGGTGACAACCTATCACAGTACCACGCTTGTATTCACTGAGCTCCTGAGAGCGACCCATTCTTTCACAAATATTTGTAGAAGCAGTCTGCATGCCTAGGTGATGATTTTATACACCTATGGCCATGAAGGTGATTGGAACACCTGAATCCAATAATTTGAAGGGGTGTCCCAATACTTTTGGCAATATAGTGTATCAGGAATGTAAAACTGTGTGATGCATTGCAGCAACATATCGCACCACCCGTTCACCCTGTACTCCAGCAGGTATGCATTTTAATGCACAAATACTGGTGTGAACGAGCCCTTGCTCATTGCAGCTACATGGATAAAGACGTAATTCTGAAAATGCAAACCAGTCTCCTGAACCGCTAGCAGTCCCCTTATCTACAACATGCCATTTGTATAAGTAGGCTGTATTTCATATGGTAGTACAGAGACTCCTCAGCCAGTGTTGAAGGGTTGCCTCATAAATTGTAATTCCTGACATTTGGGAATAGCAGATGGAATTCTGGGTAATGGCAGTTTGACTTCCCATGCCTTTTTTTTTCTCCTTTTCTGGAGTAAGACAAATGAATGTTGGGAAATATAGAACAACTGGCATTCCAAGAGTTACTACGAGCGTCTTAATACCCAGAGTACAGCCAAACGCCATTCACATAGGCAGCAACAACCGATCACTGTATTCACATGGATGGTTGGGTTTGTGGAATATAGAACGATTTTCAACAATATTCTTTTTAATTTTTGTTCACTATACATCTGGGCAAATAGACAAGACATTACGCAGAAGGTCAAAGCAGCTACAATGCCATCTGTGCTACAAATCATAAGAAGACTTAGTGATTGTAAAGCTTAATTTTTCTTTATTATTAAAATACTAAACATGTTCTACAGGGTGCAGCAAACATAACTTCCTTTTTTCAAAATGCAATAAAACCCATTTTATGAATCAGAATTGTTTTTATTGTCTTTAATAATGTAGGTACATATCTAAAGTTCTGTTTTACACAGTTTTGAAAATCATATCAGGTAGGTGACGCCCCCTATTGTCCATACACTGAATAAGCCGATTTCTGGCGTTTTTCATGACCCTTACCAGCATAGCAGCGGGTATGTTGGCAATTTCTGTGCGGATGTTGGCCTTCAGGTCTTGTAGGGTCCTTGGACGGTTTACATAAACGCGGGATTTAAAAAAAAAAAAAACCAAAAAAGTCGCAAGGAGCCAAATCGGGGGAGCGGGCTGGCCACTCCAAATCGCCCCTTATTGAGATGAGGCGCTCCGGGAAGTGTTCCCTTCAAACAGCCATTGATGCTCTTGAAGTGTGAGCCATTGCTCCGTCCTGTTGGAACCAAATGTCCCCTAAGTCCATCAAGTCGTGGAAAAACAAATTCCTCCAACATGTTCACATACCGGTCTGAATTCACTTATTCAGTGTATGGACAATGGGGGGCGTCACCTACCTGATATGATTTTCAAAACTGTGTAAAACAGAACTTTAGATATGTACCTACATTATTCAAGACAATAAAAAAAAAAATTCTGATTCATAAAATGGGTTTTATTGCATTTTGAAAAAAGGAAGTTATGTTGCTGCACCCTGTACTTACCTGCTCTGTGTAATGTTATTACACAGAGTGTCCCTGATCCTCCTCGTCTGGGGTCCCCGCTTTGGCCTCCTTTTTGTTTTTTAGTTACACCGATGTAGGAAGACTCTTCGTATCGGGGCAGACCTGCTGGCTCGCTCCCGAGCTAGGCTGTGTGTGTTTGACACACACAGCACGGCTTAGCCCTGCCCCCCGCTCTCTGCCCACAGGATTTGATTGACAACAGCAGAAACCAATGGCTTCTGCCTTTTTTTGTGATTAGAAAGAGAGGAGGGAGTTACTGCAGATGTTCATAGCTCCGGATTGAGATAAGACTCGGATAACTACAGTATACAGGGGGTGATACAATTAATGGGACTACTTTAGAGAACCACTTTAAGCTGGCTATAGATTACTCCCTTTTTTTTAATTTTTCCTATCAGCCAGTGGGCTGAATTAAAAAAACAAAAAAAACACGGTTTCTCTATCCACGTAAGTGAGTGACAGCAGGACTCTCGGCTGTCAGAATACGCTGATCAGAGGCTGCAGCTGGCTGATCGAAGAAAATATTTTCCAACAAGCCCATTCAACGAAACTGGGTCTAACGATAGACTTAAGAATTTCGATATAGTTGTGTTCAGTTTACAATATTATTAGCTGATGATGGCTGTTGGAATACCTGAACAATGGCTGCATCTGATTGGATGCAGTTGCTGTTTGGCTGAACATTTTCTGTCTGACTTTTCTGATTTGGGGCTGGAGAGACCCATGGAGCAAATTTTGTCTGGTTCATCATTGTATGGCAAGCTTAGGCTAGTGTAAATAAAGTAAACTGTTTAACTACTAGAACCCAGGTTAATGCTAGCCATACGCAGCTTGAATTTTTTGCCAGTTCCTGATGAATTGGACAAAATCTGAGCTGTGGGGGGTTAGGGTTGCACAGATACAGTGCAGATAGCAAGCATTCGTACAAGTACTTGTTCTCGTGCAGGTGTTCCGATACTTTTTGTGGTACGATTTAAGCCCATACAAAATGAATGGACTCAAATTGCACTGCAAAGAATAGTATGCGATTTGAACAGCAATGCGGTGCGATTTTTCTGTCTGAGTTGTATGTGGTTTCCCTCACTGTGTGTGAACCCAGGCTGAAATCACTATAACAAGCCTGGGTTCACATGGGAGCAGTGAAGTAAACCATTCGGACAGGAATCTCACCGTATTCCTGTTCAAATTGCAAGCTATTTTTTGCAATGCGATTTGAGCCCATTCATTTTGTATGGGCTCAAATTGCACCACAAAGGTATCAGCGAGTATACGCATCGGCCGCTAAAAAAACGGTATCTGCGCTATCCTAGTGGGGGAGTCCCTGTTGGTGCTACCTAGCTCAACAAAACCAAGTTCTGCATTTTCATTTGAACAGTGATACATGTGATCAGATGCGGTCACTGTTTGGTATTCAAGCAGCTGTGGGTGTCAGAATTCAATAGCTGGCAGTGGAGATTCCTCCATCTATAGTTTAGTATAGACAGGGGAATCTGCTATAATATATTTTGGTGTATGGCCAGCTTTAACCTCTTCTGCCCATTAAAAGGTCCCTTTTAAAAGGTTCTGATTGGCGATGTGGAGGGGAAGGATTGGTGATCATGTGATCAGATGCCAGTGGTCGCATGATCGAGAGTTGGTCCTGTCAGCTACCAATCATTAGAACAGAGGTACACCGCTCAGGCAAATAATCCAGATCAATCCAGGACAGGTGCAGGCGCTGCCTCGCCACCACACACGATGCAACAGGAAGAAGGTTCAGCCACACACCGGAGGATTGATGAATATAATGTATACTTATTGATCTATAGGACACACAAAACACCAGGACATGAATATAGGACCTGTTAACGCGTTTCACACGATCTCGGGCTTAATCATAACCGATGGATCAATAACTATATTCATCAATCCTCCAGAGTGCTGCTGACCCTTCTTCCTGTACCTACCAATCATTAGTAGGGAATGAGATCTGTCTTTGACAGCTCTGTTCTGTGCTGGGAGCACACAGTGAGCACAGAAATGTGTTCCATGGGCAGCAGCAGATTAAATATCTTTTTTCCTTCACTGGCCTGAGTAAACCCCTAGATATGGAAAACAGACTGTTGCCTTCCGGGGCCCTGAGCCAAAAGACCTGCGTGTAACTCCTGGGCAGCAGATTGGGAATCCAGGATACTAGAGACAAGTAATCCTAGAATGTTGTCCTGATGGAGAAAATACTGTGCGGCATACTGCTTCTTCAAGTCTGAGTAATTACAAATAATTTCACTGAGCTTGAAGTTCTCCAGCATTTCATTCCTCTGTCTTTGTGGAATTTGCCGCTTGTATAATAGACAGGATCACACAAGCCGAATGCTTTACTTGCCGGGATCTCTTTTTTCATTGGCCTGTAATGTCTGAGTCTTCAGAAAACAATTCATTTTCAGTTCTGTGAATTCAGCTTAGTCATTAGCAGATTCTTCACAATGGCTTTCCTTGAACAATGGACTGTTACGCAGAGGCTTTTAGAATTTCTGCTTCAGGGTCATTTGCAAGGACAATTCTCAGATTTGGTGAGTTTAAGAAGCGGTTTTCCAGCTGTCTTCCATCTTCCACCGTTGACTATCATAAAGCTGGCCATGCACTGGTGGATTTTCGAACGGACATTCACATGAAAAATCTCTGCAGCACATTCGGTGATGTCATTAGAGGCAAATGTTATTTTAAATGTATTTCTACCTTTTTGTTTGATTTTAATATGAGTGGAATTTCCCAAATAAAAACCACATTACCAGTTAGAAATTCATTCAGTTTGAGGAACATTTTTCATCTTGCCCCCTCAAATTTTCTCTTCACTACAGTTGAAAACAAACTTCAAATTAATCCCACTAACCATTAGGAAATCAAACAAATGTTCCAAAAAGTAGAATTTTCTGATTAAATTGTACTACTGTATGGTCGGGTAACACATGGATAGATGATCGCATCTACTGTCGGAAGTCAGAACATCAGTCCGGCATACTATGTACGATGGTGTCTTGGAAAATAGTAAAGCAAGGATATCTTTCCTAGAGCTTGCACCTTCAGCAGTTACAGCACCCAAGGGTCTATCCTGTTGGGTTCTGTTTAAAGGAACTTGGACGTATTTTTCACCGAAAAATTGCTGTCTTTCTAAAAACTATGAGATTGTTACAAGACCCCATGTTACATTCAGATGTGCTTAGCAGAGTTCATTTTTTGAAGTGAATCAGTGCTATGCCCATTCAGAGCAAACAGGTTTACCTAATAAAATCCCTTCTCATTAACTTATCAGACTTGGAATCTACGCAGCTGTTGGGTGCTGGAGAAACTGGTGGAAGGTGCCACTGTAGGTAGAAGAAAATATGTCGT